AAACGGCCGATTTCTCGGTTTCTTTAAGATTATTAAGAAGGTTAGAAACTCCGCCTACTAGCTTAAGCTACTAGCCTTAATAGCGCGGCTCTATTCTATCTTCTATATATCTCTTCTAGAGTTATACTTCGTAAAGCCCGGTTTCTAACCGCCCGCTATAGAGTTAGAGAATATATAGAAGGTTAAGACCGTCGTTAACTATAAAGACGGCTTCCGCGGTTCGTAGTATCTTATTAAATAGCTAGACTAGCTAAATAAATATAATAAGTAGAAGTACGAGTACGAACTCGAGAACTACTAGAAACTACTTAACGAATACCGTCGTCGATACTCTAGGGGAATAAACCTATCGAGTACGAAACGCGTACGAAGAGTACGCGGAGAACCTTCGTAACGAGGCGAAAAACCTTAAAAAGACCTACTAGGGAATAACTCTAAAGATACGAAGAGCGTACGAAGAGTACGCGGAAATCTACCGTAAGTAGACGAAAAACCTATAAAACGCGGGCGAGGAAGGCCTCCCGGCTTAAGAAATAAGACGAAGCGGTAAAAGCTTAGTCTTTAGAATTTAGAGTTAAAGGGCGAAAGCTACTAAATATATCGTATACTACGGCCGAGATTAATACGTCGCCGAAAGGTATCCGGAAAAAAACTATAATTTCTTTCGTAGTTAGGAAATTCTATAGGACCGATTAACTTACGAAAACTTTCGGGTTAATAACTATAATATAAGAAGAATAGATTTTTATTACTAGGCGTAAGCGCCGCGTACGAGAAGCGTATCTAATTCGTATAAAACTCTAAGCCTAGTCTAACTCGTAAAGAACTCTAAAACCTCGCTAAATATTAAAACTAAATTTTATCTACCCTCTATCTCTTATTTTACTAAGAATCTATACTAGTATTATCGTATATTCTTCTAGCTATTACTCTCGTCGAGGGACTTATCGCGGTTCGGGTTAAGGCTATCCTTCTTAAAGAGGTTATTCTAGCTACGTAGAAGGCGGTTCTCGGTAGCTACGTCGATACGTTAGTTCGTAGAGAGTATTAAACTAATACCGCCTATACTAAGCTATACTAAGAGTTAGTAAAAGTAAAAGCGGACGATTAAGAAAGCCCTTATCTACTTACGTTAGAGGTTATAGTCGCGAGAGATCTATCGAGCGTATAAGTACTTCTTAAGACCGTTAGCGTTCTTAACGCGAGTCTTCTCGAGTCGGCGAAAGTTCTTAACGTAGTTAAAATACTTAGAGGCGTAGCTACGGACTAGATTCTACTTCTTAGAAGTATTATAACGAATAGCCTACTAGCGTATAAACGATAATACGTTTATAGCGCGGCGAAACTCGAAAGGCGGCTAAATAGACGAAAAGAGTTAGCTAAAGATATAACGCGTATACGAATCGTAGAATAAAACTTATCTAAGTATAATCGTACCGCGCTCTAGTATATCTCTAGTACTTCGAGAGCGGTATCTTACGTATATAGCTCTACTTAATAATATCCTTTACGTTATTATCGATCTAAGAAGCGGAAGCCTAGTATAAAAGATAACGTTTATAGAAAGCTTTATAATAAGGCGGAATCGGCTCCTAATAAGAAGCTAGACCGCGTATACTAACGAAACGACGTCGAGAGACGTCCCGTATACTAAACGACTTATAGCGAGTCTAAGCCTTACCTTTATCTTTATCTTAAGCTAATTTAAGACCGAGCTAGCTTATACGAGATAGCTTCTCCTCTTTTTTATCTATACTACCTATAGGACTAGCTTCTAGAGTAATAGAAGACGTCGAAAAACGAGCGGTAGAGCCGCGGGGAGAAGTTAAAGATAAAGCTATATTAGAAAATAGATATAGCGTAGAGTTAGAAAACGATCGCGTAAGAGAACTCTAATATATAGAGGCTTCTTACTAGCTTCTTCTACGGCACGCGTACGTAAAACGTATAGGCCCGAATTCTATAGAAACGTACCTATCTAATAGAAGAAACTATATCTATCTAACGCCTAAGTACTACTCGTAAAGAGGTAAGAATCTATTATCTAGCTAATAGGTATAGTAACGATACTAGCTACTAAACCTAGCTATAAACTAAAAATTACGAGTAGTAGTAGTAAACTCTATAAAGATAAATACGCCTAATATAATTACTACGAAGAAATATCGGGGGGAAAGTACGCGCCGCGTATACTATACGCACCTAGAACGTATAAATAATAGTTCTAAAACGCTTAAGCTATATACGAGACTCGCGATTATAAATCTAAAAAGATAAAAGACGGAATAACCGCTATTACGTAGAAAGTAACTATTACTTCTTCTACGTAGAACTAAACCTCTAATAGAGTCCTACTCTCGAATACTCTAAGCCGCGTAACGGTCTAGAGTAGCTAAACTTTTCTACTACTCTAGTATATAGCGCTATATACTCGACCCGCGTATAATAGTCGTACGCGTTAAGTATACTCCGCGCACCTACTTATAATATAGATAAAAGCGGATATTCTAAGGAATATAGGCTACGGCTTTCGCGCCTAGAAATTTTCTTAACGACTCTAGCTGCGAGCTTTCTTCTTTCTAATAAGAAAGATTTTTCTCGTAGAAGGTATATAAGATTCTCGAGTTTTTTATTCTTTACGGGGTCGTAGTCGACTTCTATAGTAGAGGGGGTAGTATAAGAATCTATAGCCGCGTCTCGTATACGCTTCGTATACGAGACCTATAAAAGTTACGTATTAGTTACGTAACTCTCGCTTAGCTATATATAAAAGCTCTTCGGCCTACGGGCGAAGGCCGAATTCCTAAAGAATTCGTCTATTAATTATAAGCCCTCTTCTTATATCTATCTTAAGTTTTCTATTCGTATCTTATATCTTATAATAGTAAGCTTCTTTAATAGTAGCGAGACCTCGGTAGAAGAGAGCGAGATAGATAGCGGAATCTCTACGAGCGGAATAGTAATAAAAGATAAAGAAAAAGATAATCGTCGTTCGTATTTTCTAGAGCTAGGCCTTAAGTTCTTTTATAGACGTAGAGGTCGCGCTAGTTACGCTCGAGATAGTATTATCGATTACTATTAAGAAGAAAAAATAGATCTTAATAGATAAAGAAAAAATAGATCTTAATAGATAAGAAGAGAAGATAAACCTCGATAGATAAGATACTAATAGCTAAGCCGGTAGTAATTATAAGCTACTTCTTAGATATAGTAGACGAAGATAAGATAATACTCTACTACTATAAGAAATACTACTTACTACTTAGTAGTTACTTAGTAGTTAGAGTCTCTAATAACTATAGATAAAATTAGAGAAATACTACTTAGTAGTTAGCTAGTAGTTAGATTCTCCGACTACTACGGCTAACTACTATAACGAAGTACTAAGAAATACTACTTAATAGTTACTTAGTAGTTAGATTCTTCGACTACTACGGCTAACTACTACGACGAAGTACTAAGAAATACTACTTAGTAGTTACTTAATAGTTAGATTCTCTAACTACCGCGATTAACTACTACGATCGACTACTACGACTAATTACTATAACTAACTACTACGACCGACTACTACGACCGACTATAGCGACCGACTATAGCGATAAACGCTACTTAGTAGTTAGTTAGAAGTTAGAGTCTCCGACTACCGTAACCGACTAAAGCGAGAAATACTACTTAGTAGTTACTTAGTAGTTAGATTCTCTAGTAATTATAGATAAAAATAAGAAGAATACTACTTAGTAGTTACTTAGTAGTTACTTAGTAGTTCGGGTTTCCGCTAGATACGTATAAATTTTAAGAGTAAGCTATAATAATAGTATCTTTAGTTTAACTAAAATACTCTATAATAACGCCTTTTTTTACGTAAACGGATAATACGAGGTGTTTTAGTAGTACTTTATTACCCTTAATATATATATTTAGAGATAGTTAGAGTGTTATATTATATATATAAGCGATAAAGTAGAGGGTATAGTAAGTATAACGAAACTACGTATTCTTTTTACGTCTTTAAGGCTATATATCGATATAACTTAGCGTAGCTATTACTATTAATTCTAGACTAATTAAAAGCCTATATTTTAAAGAATTACTATAGGTATACGCGCTAACGAATAATAACGTAGTTATAAAGTAATATTAAAGTAAACGATTTAGAATATAATAGATATACGTAAAGTTAGACCTAAATATACTTAGACGCTTCGTAGAGGGACGATCTAATAATACGACGCTAAAAGGCTTGGCCTAGCTTTAATTGGTGTACTATTGTGACTAATTGAGGCCCGTGCGAAGCGGCTGACCCGTGAGATAAGTGCAGCCCCGGTTTTCCCCACGATCGCGGCCACTAGAAGGCGTCTAAGACGTCCAACGGGCTTCGCTAAGCTGCACGATAGCTGCAGGTCAAGGGTCTGCAGGGCCATTGGCATCGTGGCGGACCGAAATGACCCCTTCATCAGCGCCACGACGCCCATGAGAGCTGAGACGAGTCGCTACCGGCGCCAGTGGAGGGTTTAAGAGCCACGCCCGCCGCCACGCTACCCTCACGATACCCCGACGCAGGTGCGGTCGAGGTCGAAAGAAGCACTCGCCACCCGGCGAGGCTGCTTATGCTCGAGTTGTGCAAGCCCCACCGGCGGCCCCGTGGCCCTGCGCTTCGTATCCGGCGGCGGAGCGAGGCATGAATGGCGGGCGGGCGGTCGCTGCTGCAACAGGAGGCCTGACCCTGCAGGCGTCGACTTGGCAGGGCAGCGGCGCGGGCAAATACAAAGGGCGGCGCGGTGCTCGCCCTCGACGGCGCGGGAGGCAGCGCTAGCCTAGGCGCGGCACGGGAGCAAGTGTTCCAGTATCATAGATCTGCGCCTGATTCGCGCAGGTGCAGGATTTGCACGACCCCGGCCACGTCGAATCGCCTTTTCCCCGGCACTCGCGCGCTGTTTTGCGAACAACAGTCCCCCGCCGCACGCCCCTCTCTCAACACCGAGCAGGCCTCATCAGCAATGCGCACGCAACAGCCCGCCAAATGTCTGCTGCTCGACCTCCCGGTTGAGCTGCGCCTGCTCATCTACGACTACGCCCTCTTCTCCCACGACCACGTCACCATCGGCACCGGCCTCAAGCCCAGCTTCGCCTCGCCCGTCGACAGCGGCTACGCGAGCGATGACGGCCGCGACTCGGATGAACTGATCCCCGGCCTGCCCTCAGACTTCGAGCCCGTCGTTCTGCCGCGCTTCGACCCGGACTTCCTCCATCTTGAGCAGCCGCCCATTTTCGACCACTGCACCCGGGACCAAGATGAAGCCACCGCCGCCGCCGCCGACGACGACGACGAGCGCGATCCTATCGCGCGCCTTCGCGCCAAGCTGCCCTTCGCTTCCCCGCTCGCTCTGCTCCAGACCAATCGCCAGATCAGAGACGAGCTGAACTGGCACCTCAAAAGCCAGCGCACCCAGGACCGGAAGCTGTCTCTCTACATGACCTACCCGTACGGCCTGCTCGTTTTCCAGCACCTGTGCCCGGACTTGATTCGGCTGGCCCGAAGCGTCCATATCAGCGGCTACTACTACCCCACCAGCGCCCATGGGCTGGTTGAAGGCCCGCCGGCATGCCAGTGGATTCACCGTCGGTACACGCAGCCGCCGCCCATCGACGTGCCCGTCATCCAAGATGCAAACACTGCCCTCGGGTTGTTGACGCTCACCACGCTGGGGGAGGGCCCGAAGATACCGGTCGAGGAACTCGAGCTGCGCATCTATCACCCAGGGCCGAAGGGCAACGACCAGATCTGGCGAGGCGAGAATCCGAGCAGTCCTATCTGCGTCGCACTGCGCAACACGTGCGGTGGGTTGATAGACAGCTCTGTGTTGCAGGGCGGGAGAGGGGCTGGCGCATGGCTGAAGATCAAGCCCAACGAGGAAAGGCGCATCCTGACGCAGAGATGGAGGAGGTTCACCGACGGCAACAGCAAAGCAGAATGCGAGGGCTGGATTGTGAATCCGGAGTGGCCGCGAATACCACAGCCATCCGTTGTTGCGAGCGGCCCGTCGAGCCCCAGACAGGACGACCAGTCGGATGCTGCCGAAGACGCTGCGGCCTCTTAGGTTCTGTCGGCGTTGGGGATGTTCACAGACCCGGAGTCTTTTGGTGCGATGCGACTTGCGATGTTTTGGAATGACTGCACGCTGAACACGGGGCGTTTTTGGGTCTTCTGCTCGATACTTTTGATGGCGGCGTCGGCTTGTTCTACGGGCCCGCTAATTCGTGCTGTGGCTGCACAGCCATCGGCGGTAAATACGACGGTTCTTGAGGCTGTGGCGCACCTCGCACTGGTGACAACGAGAGGCTGCACCCTCCTCACGTAGGCATGGCCGCATGTGTTCGCACAGTCATTAGAATGCGACTGCGCCAGACGCTGGCTTCAGCTGCACGCGCACGGAGCGATGCGGGCAGCGGATGGCGAGGCATTTGTGATGTGGCCACACAGCCCGGCTTTCTGCTTTCCATGGGCGTCATCAGACCCTGACCCAGCCACAGCATGGCCACAGCATCTGTGACGCAAGCGATGCGCACCGGGCAGACTAACCGCAGCACTCCGGTTCCAGCACTCTCCGACGCCGCTGCGGCAGAAGCACTCACGATCCATAAAACCGTCGCCATCTCCTGTTGCGCCTGCCTACACTCCCTTCCTTCACACTCTCTCATCCTCATCTCGCACTCGCCAACAACACTCATGTCAGACTACGCACCTCCAGTTGTAAGTTGTTCCCCGCATGGCCAAGCCCAGCCCAGCCCCGCATTCCCGCCCTCGCAGCCTTCATGCACGCCAAGTATCGTCAAGCTCTCGTCACCAGCCGTCGATCCGCACTGACTCTCGCTTTCATCGCCGTAGGGCCCGCCTCCGCCCAAGGTCCCCGAGGGCTGGAAGGCCGTCTTCAACGCGCAATACCAAGAATGGTTCTACGTCAACATCTATACCAAACAGTCGCAATGGAACAAGCCGACCGAGCCCATCTATCCTCCCTCCGATGCCGAAGGCAGCGCCCCACCTCCGGGCCCGCCGCCCAGCTACGGCCACGGCGGCGATGCGGGGCCACTCGGCCCGGAAAAGACGGGCTTGAGCAGCAACAACCCGTACGGGCCGGGTGGTGGCGGCTACGGCGGCAGCGGGCAGAACATCAGCGAAGACGAGCGGCTGGCCCGCCAGCTGCAGGCCGAGGAAGACGCACGCGCACACGGTGGCCACTCGCCGATGCCGGGAGGCGGTTCTCGCGGCGCCGCCGACGGTTATTACGCCCAACAGGGCGGCGGCAGTGCCTCGCCAGGCTACAGCCAGCCGCCAGGCTACGGCCAGCAAGCCCCGGGCTACGGCTCGCAGGACTTGCCGCCGCGTCCGGACGACAGCAGAGGCAAGAAGTCCGGCGGCTTTCTGGGGAAGCTTCTCGGCAAGGCGAGCGGCTCCAAGCCGGGTGGTGGATACCCCGCGGGTGGGGCTTACGGCCACCAACCGCAGTATGGCGGCGGCGGCTATCAGCAGCCGCAAGGATATAACCAGGGCCCGCCGCAGGGCCAGTACGGATACGCACCGCAGCAGGGCTACTACGGACAGGGTGGTGGGATGCCGTACGGTGTTGCCCAGCAGAAGCCGAAGAAGAGCGGGCTGGGTGCTGGTGGTGCGGCGGCGCTTGGTGTCGGCGGTGGCCTGGTTGGTGGAATGTTGCTGGCGGACGCGATCGAAGACCATGACGAACATGAGTATGACCAAGGTTATGACCAGGGCTATGACGACGGTAACGACAACGACTTCGGCGGCGGGGACGACTTTGGTGGTGATTTCTAGCTTGTCGACTGCCTCGTGGGTCATTGTCCATTTCTTCTTCTTGTCACGGCGTTTGTATGTCGGCTGGGCATCACTGCGGATTCGTATGAATTTTTCTGAACTCGTATCCTACTACTAGCTCGAGCAGTCCTTTCACTTCTGGAACGCGAGCATGACAGCAATAGATGTATTCTCTTCCTTCCCAGAATCTTTCCGTTGTTCCTTCCTCAATGGTCTGCCCCTTCCTTGTGCACCACAACCACCCCGAACTGTTTCCCTGTCACTTTGCGTCACCATCTCGCCCTCCTCGTCTTCCATTTTCAACGCATGCTTTCAAATGGCCGTCTTCCCAACTATAGCCGGCCCTATCTGCGGCGGCACTGCCATCGCCGTTGCCGTGGTCGTACTTTTATTCGAGCAGTTTCGGAGGTCAAGGAGTAGGAACAAAGTCAAGGCTACGGCAGGAAAGGCAGAGGACGAGATAGAGAGGTGGAAAGAGATCCCAGTCATCTACCTCGAGCTCATCTAAGCTGTGAGTGAAGTGAACACTGTGCTCACCTCACGCCGCTCCGATTTTTCCTACCAGTCTTCTGATGTACAAGCAGTGCCTGCTCCCGCCGCGCGCATCCCACTTCAATCACCCATCACTCCCGCGTCAAGGATGCACACGTACGTGCCCCAACCAGGCCTGCTAGGAGATCTGGACGAACCCCCGTGGGTCACACAGGATGAAGGTCGACGAATCTGCCGAGTCTTGTGCCTTCCGATAACCTGGCCGTGTGAAATCGCAAGGCTCGGCACCAGATTCCATCGTTCCCGGTAGGAGGCTGCTCTGTTTGATGGCATTTCCCTCACCGGCACCATGACTGATGAATTGGCAAACAGCAAGCACAAATGTGGTTGTCGAAAACGGGGCCTTGCCTCGAACAAGGAGCATCGCCCATACCAGTCACCGCCGCTGCCTGCAGTCAATCTTCGCAAGGGAACGGCATCTCTGATGGTCACGAGAGACTTTGATGACTGAAGCACGAACGGGAATAAGGGGTAGGCTTGGTTGTGAGAATCGTGTGCTGCGTCACACTCGCATGTGTCCTACTCTTCCTACCATAGATATCAACTAGCCGGAAGGCTTGCGAGGCAAAAAAAATTGTTCATTTTTTCCTCCACAAGCAATGCACATTACAAGTCTGTATCGCCATTTTGACAGTGCGCGTGATGCGGGCTGGTCCAATGCGTCTGGTAGGCAAGTCTGTCACTCACAACCTTCCATTTCTCCCTTCAAGCAAGGATACTGATTACTGCGAAACAAGGATTATGTCCGGCCTCTTCGTTCAAAATAAGAGCATGACAAAAGGCCACACTTGGTCCCACGCCGTTACTGGGGCCTTCCGCATGCAAGAAGTTTCCATACCCAGTTTAGTCGAGGACGCGAAGCATGTTTCAAGAGGCACAAGATGCACATGGAGAGCGCAAAGCGAGTGAAAGCAGCCCTGGAATCGATGCCATGTTTAAACCAGAAAATAAAAGATAAAAAGAGAAGAAAGAAACGAATCCAGCCGCAAACCAAACCCCCCTCCCTCCTCTTGCAATCGATCAGACTACTACACCTTAACCATAGGCACATCAGACAAATCCCTCTTCCCGACATTCGGCCTCGTCAGCACATCCCGCACCGACGCCTCGCCGCTCCCGAGCTTCCGGATCGTCTCGTCCGGGTCGAAGTCGACGCCGATGGGGTTCTCGGCGAAGGCCGGGTCCAGCATGTACGCGTTGGTCTCGTCGGGCGTGTCGAAGACGTCGACCTGCGTCTCGATGTGGTTGCCGTCCGGGTCGCGGTAGTAGATGCTGAGCGTGGGCCCGTGGTTGACGCACCACACGGGCGCGATGCCCAGCGCCTTGCGCTGCGTGTAGGCCGTGAGCAGGTCGTGCACGGTGGAGAAGGTGAAGGCGATGTGCTGGCCGCGCGCGGTTTGGTCAGCAATTATGCAATGTTTGTCGAATGCGATTGGCGTTTGCGCGATCCGCCATATCTTTTCACTGTCTTTTTCTTCTTTTTTTTTTTTTACACCGGCAGATGGGTAGGTAGACGTGGGAGATTTCCTAAGTACTCACCTCCAGCCCAGCGGTTTTGGCGTCTTTCGGGCCAATATCGGGCATCGCGACGATGGCGATGCGATGGTGTTCCTCGTCGTACGTCATGAAGGATATGAAGTCGTTCTGGTGCGATGTCTCGGCGCCCAGGAACGCTTTGTAGAAGGCCACCATGTTGGCAAACGACTCGGGCCGCGTGCGAAGCACGACGTGGGCGAGCCTTATGGGCGAGATGACCTTTGTCGTCTTGCCGTTCAGCTGGTCCTTGGTATAATCCGCCATGATTTTGTTCGTCGGTGTTCAGTGCCGTCGGGTTTTTGTCAAAAGATATTAGCAGCAGCCCAACACTGTTCTTATATATCATGGGATGAGCCGCTACCCCGACGTCTCGCGCGAGCACGTCTGATTGAGTGGAACTTTACCCCGCCTAATCTGCCCAACCAAGGCCGAGGGAATCTCACCTGAGCCCACGGCCGAGCTTATGTGAGATGGCGCACGGGGCAGCCCATTTACCTTCAACACCTTTTGAAATGAATTCCGCGCTGACAAATGTCAAAGGCTGTGCATTGCGCTGGGCCTCTTGGTAGCCAGGCAAGGGACATTGATCAGCGATGATCCTTTGTGGGGGTGGTTGAACCCATTGCGTCCACGTAGATATAGGTTTGAACGACCTTGACTCCTTGAGCAGATATCCGGATGTAGATACGGCCATCAAAACTATACGAACGCATCTCGGCACATGATCTCGCTGCCCATGTAGGCGAGTCAACATCTTTCGTGTTCGAGGCTGCGGCATACACAACGTCCAATCATCGCAACTGATTAGCACAGCTACACCAGCTTGCGCTGACCAAATCAGCCAGCTTTACAAATGCCCTCGGAGACCGAGAGACCAAAGGGCTTTTCGAGACAGCTGCTCCCACGGCTCTCCTCCCATGGATTACATAATGTCCCCAACGCCCTCCTGGCTCCCCCAGAAGTCATCCCAGGCAGCCTTCCATCTGTCCTGGACGTCCTTGAGCCACTGCGTGAACTCGACCTTCTCCTCTCCGAGATCTATCACGCCGTCCTTGATGCCCTTCCAACCCTCCGCCGGGTGCTTAACGTAGTGATGGTTCTTCCCACAATAAGCCTGCCAGTCGGTGACTGGCCCGCCGTTGTTCCACCCTATGCGCTTGTGGTGGCAATCAGTGCACAGGTCCGTGTCGGTACAGGTTGTGCACGTGTAGACGGGCCCTTCGCTGGGATTGTAGATTTCCTTGCCGCAGCCGTTGCAGAACACACTTGTATCTGTGTGTGTATCAGCTAGTGTGAAGTGAGTGAGTGCTTGTATTGCTTACCGGGATTCAGATCGCCATAGGGTGCGCCGGTATTCTCTGCTGACGGCCTCTCATTGCAACTCTCTCCGTTCACCCCATTCTGGCCAGTGTCCTCGGCTGTGGGGTGGGCTTGCGCCGGCGCGCCATCATCGCTGGAGCTATCGCCCTCCTTCGGTATGAACTCGGGATTGAGGTAGTAGAATTGCGAAGCGGAGGCTATCTGAGCGTCTCTCTCCAGGCCTGGAAGGCACGCCAGAACCTTGCCAAAGAAGCGGACGCTGGTGAAGTCATTCGAACCCTCGTTGTCGGTTAGGGCAGCAACACAACTGTCGAAACATTTGTTCAGCGTCGACTGGAATTCCTGTAAAGGGCCCATTTTCCGCAACATCAACACGGCAGGAAGCGCCGTATTGGACAAGGCCGGGTCGAAATCCTCGATGCGAACGTAACCGGTCGGGAACGCCAGTCTCATGGTCTCGTCAAGAATGCTGGCCTTTTTCACCGCGTCGACCGTGGTGCGGAATTGCTCCATGAGAACTTCAGCCAGGAGCCCCCTGCTGTCCAGAACGACTTCTTCCAGCAGATTGTCTCCCCTCTGGTAGCCCTGTAGCAGCTGGACCAGCAGCTCCTTGGCTTTGTCCAGGTTCTCATCAACAACCACGTAGTAGCTCGCAAGGGCGAATCTGATGCCGAAGTCGGTGTTCCAGTTCAGAATTGACATTTTGATCAGTCGTTCGTAAGTATCCGCGATCAGCTCGCGTTTGCCTGTCCTCACAGCAGCACGTTGGAAGTCTTCGTGAGTTCCCTGATCTGCAAGCCATACGAGCTTTTCTTTATCCTTGAGAGTGGCGAAGAACTCCAGCAGTCTGTCATCCTGCCCTTTCTCGATCAACTTTGCCATTATTTCTGCGATTACGTCATTGGGCAGGAATTCGTCGGGGAGAAGAGGCTTTGCTTGGTCGTTGAATATACTGATTGCCGCCGCCATGTCGTCTTCGAGCAGCGCGCATCCCGAGAGTGTGAGGAAACTGCGTGCCATGTATATTTTTGTGTTCTCTTCTTCGCCCTGAGGGCCGAGCTGCGAGTACTCGGCTATCATCGCCATGACCGTCTCCTTGATCTGTTTGATGTATTCAGCTTTCTTCTCTGCGTCTGCTTCTTCGGATGCCAATTGCTTGGCCGCATCTGACACACTGCCCAAAGCATGGAAATTCTCCAGGTTTGATCCGGGATTTTCCAAAGACTTCTTGCATTCCTCGAGGGCGGACTCCCAGTGATTGTACCACTTCATGACCAGACCGATTGCTCTGTGCGCGTAGCTGGACCTCTCCAGATCTGGGAAAGCACCCGCTACAAGGAGAATCTGTTCCGCTGTTGGCTCATCCCCTACGTTTTTCAACTCATCCACCAGCATGTTTGTCTTTTTTTCCCGCAGGCATCAGTATCAACCTGTGGAGGTATGTTGGGACAGAGTAGAAGCTTACCAATTTGAGTGCTTCAAGTGCAAAGTGGAAAGACCGCCAGGCTTCCCATCGGTATGCGGCATAGTTGAACCAGTTAAAGACGTGCTTCCGAGCTATTTGTTCCATGAGCTTGGAGGGGTCCTCAGACAGGCTGGATACCAAGTTCAAGCTCTCTGTGTTGAGGAAGTCAGTTGGAAGATCCGAGGCTCTGCCAACCCACTGCTTGATGGAGTTGAACATGCGCTCCCGCAAGTCCTTTGACTCGCCAAAGATACCGAGACCGCTTGCATTCTCTTCAATCTTCTCCAGAGCCCGGTTCTTGTTATTCACAATGTCGGAGAGGCTCTCGAGGACGGACTTGACCTCATCATCACCCGCACTCTCCACTTCAATGTCCAGGAAGTGATGGATCCAGAAGTCGGCGCAATAGTTTTTCAACATCTTAATCGTCAAGTCATCCTCAACGTCCGTGGTTAAGATGGTGGCGATGGTCCTGAAAATGATCAGGTGAGCAGAAGACGGAGAGCTGCGCAAGCCATTCTCGTCTACGACGGCCTCACGGAAGTATTGGCGCAAAGACCGTTCCTGGAAGCGCAGAGGTACCCAGGTGTTGGGGTCCGTATCATCATGGGTTTCAAGGGCCTCATCAGCGGTTTCGGAGCCGTCCCCGTCGCTTTCATCGGACGACTCGTCGTCATCGGAAGTAATCTGGGCAAGCCGGAGCAGTCTGGCAGACTTTCCTTCAATCTCTTCCTCCAGGCTCAGTTTGGCGTCGTCGTTGACGAAGGCCACAAGGTTGGACGCTTCCCCATACGCGAGTGGACGCTTCGAGTAGGCAAGCCATGCGAATAGTCGTTTTAGAGAGGCAAGATCCTCGTCACTTCGCCCCTTTTGACATTCGGCAAGCAGCAGGTTGTAAAGGTCGGATAAACTTGCTGGCAGCTTGTCAAGCTCCTTCAGAATTGTCGCTTCCCGGCGTAGGGAATTAAGCCTGCGCAGAACATGCTCGGCGTAGAGCGCGCCTATGCCCGTAATGTCAGCAACGCTTCCGAAATATCATCCGGGGGTCAAACATACTGTCGGCATTCTGTAGAAGCTTGATGATGACTCGCTTCTTCACGGGGAGTCGAAGCCTTCTGAGCCTGGACATGGACTTAATCCTTGCTTTTATGATGAGCCGAAGGTCTCTCCTCAAATGATCAATTGCGATGGGAAGAGATGCTGGCTGCAAGCTTTCCACCCCTTCCGTTTTCGGTCGGCTTGTGATCATAACCCGAATCTGCAGGTTGTCCTTCTTCACCTGAGCAAGAAGACTCAACAACTTTTCGCGGTCGGCTGCGCCGGCTTCGTCAAATCCATCGATAACAAGGAAGAGCCTGGTTGGAGACTCATGAGGAAACTTCGAGGCGAAGAGCTGATCCCATAGGAGGGATGCTTCTCCATCTCCAAGATTTTCGGCGCTCTTCTTGATCTCCTTCGCTACTTCTTCGCGATACTTGTGGTCGGTCTCTGCTAGCTGAGCTGCAACCGTCTTCAAGAGGTCGACCGTTGAGCGTAGCTCCTTGTGCTCTTCCTTGAAAAAGAAGTACGCAACGTTGGTCTGGCAGAAATGGCGCCGTTCCCTGAGTTCGTTGACGGCAAAGTACGCAAGACTCGACTTTCCCAACCCGCGGTCGCCGGTAACCCACAGGAAGGGCTCGTTCTCACCAGCGGCGAATGCGTTGTAAGTCTCATTTTCTCTGAGCCACTTGAAAGTCCCCTCCACAAAGGCCTGCTTGATGTCGGCATAAGCCATGGTCGTGGCAGTGAAGGCAACAGTTTGCAGTGCCTCCTTCACCTGAGCGAGAGCCGCCGAGCGCCTTGCGCCAGCATCTTTGGGTTTACGGAGCTTTTCCCCCTTGCCTTGCTCCTGGCTGTTATCAGACATGGTGAAGTACCTGGAAATTATGCCTGATACTTTCTGCATCTCGCGAGAATTTTGCTGGCTGATTTCCAATGTCTGTTGCCCTACCATGGCATTCTCCTTCAGGATACCCGTTTGCTCTTGCTGGATTGAGAGCACCTGGCGGGTCAGCGTAGCTGTCTCTGTCACTGATTGGTGCGTCTCGATTGTCTGTCTGAGCGTGGCAAACATGGTGGCTGACTCGAGTCTCTCAATATTTGACTTGAGGCTGCCCAAGGCACTTTGGAGTTTCTCGTCAGAGCCCTTGATAAGCGCTTTCGTCCATTTGACTGAGAGTAGGATTAGCATGGCGTTGGTCGGGGTCTTGGGTGTACTGACTGAACCGCCCTTCTTTCTGGTATCTGGTGGCGATTTTGCAAAGGTCAAGTATGGCAGTGAACACCCGCATCATTATCGTCTGATATATTTTGATGTCCGGGACCTTCTTCTCGATGATGGAGATGCGCTTGAGGAATGAGTGCTGGATGTCGAAAAAGGTGTAAATGACTTTTGAGTGGTCAGCCGAGATGAGGCGTGTCGAAGAAAATGGAGTTGTTCACCATCGTAGTCCTTGGACACGTTTTTGGAACCCTATCTCCGTCAATTCTCTGTAAAGATGAACCGAAAGGCCATCGTCTTACATCCATGATCCCTGCGATAACTCGAATTAGTGCGTCGGCCATCAAAGACGCGAGAAAGGCAAACTCACATGTGAAAGCCATCAAGACGGTTCCAGCAGGTGGAAAAGCCTGCAGCTCGTCATTAGCCAGCTCAGGAACCGGGTAGGGTGATGCATACCGTGCTTGCAGCATTTGATATCTGTTTTGCAGCAGACATGATCAATTCCGAATTGGTGCTGACAACCGAACGGAACTTGTCGGTGACCTGGCCATCGTGCCGAAAGCCCTTGAACTTGTCCAGTGCGCGTTTCTGCTCTTCGAGAATCTCCTTGGTCGACATGTGCTGGACGCGGGTGATGTCTCTCTCGGTTTCTTTGGCATACTCACGGACGGCCTTCGCCCAAAGCTCCCCCACGTCTGCTGCAGACTCGGCCTTGTAGTCCTCGGAGAAGTCCATGACGGAGAAGCGGACAGGTTGCCGCCAAGCGAGGGTGTTGGAAAGCAAGACCGAAGAAAGAAAGCCGGTGACGGCTCGTTTTATGCTAGGGGTACATGGCTTTCGCCCCCACCTGAAGAGATTGGCGGCTAAACCGAAGGCCGCATGTGCTGTCGAAGCTAAAGGATAGCTCCAGAAATGACTTACGCCACGCTGGTGATCGGAGCGGCGACTGTCTGATCGGCCAGCTGCAGGCCGCGGGCTCTTGGCCCCCAAGTTGACCGGCAGCTTTGTGGCGCTTCACGGTCTCCGTCCAGCCCGTTTCACACCCTGTCGGGCCGGGCTTGTTCCGAGGGCGCTGTTCCATCCATGGGCCGGCCGACTTCTGCATCCTGGGGTTGGCGGTGAGGTCAGAGATGGCTTCGATCCGCGCAACCTGACGCGTGGTTGTGGCCACTGGGATCCAGCAAGCGTAATGAGCATGAAGGGGAGAGGTGGTGCTCGAGGATGCAGAGACAAATGACCGCACTAGTTGCTTATGGCGCTAGCCGGTCCCTGAACCCACCCCAACGCGCCTTCCTCCCACGCGCTTCTTCCCGAAACCTGATTTCCAAGAAGCCTTTCACATTCGTTCCTACACGACTGAGAACACGCAGCAACGCTCACTGGTACTGGTCTCACATCAAGCTATTGCACATATCAGTGTCTTCTTCATTGCCAGGCGCGAAAGGTATACGTACCGACAAATTCTGGCGAGCATCTTCAGCCTACTCGGGTGGGAAATCGGTGAGAAGGCGGTACACATCGTTCATGTTTTGCCACAGGTTGTGAAGAGCGTCCTCGTATGTCGTTCCGTGGAAGCTCATCGGATCTGCCCTGGTCCCGTTCGGCCTCAGATGTCCACATACAAGGAAAATGGCTTCATGTTGGATATAGCTAGCCCCCCATACATATCCCGCTTTTTTCAATAACCAAGAAATCTAATTGCTCCATGACTCTCTCCGACACTCATACTTTGACATGCACTAACCAGAGATCTGAAGAGTGAAGTAGATGTGTCCACCTTCCGGTCTCTACAGTCCGATACTCTTCTTGACCCAATTCTCAAGACCACCAAGCGCAATAATCTCTTGCACGTTCGGCGGCAGCTCACCGACCTTCTGGCTCCACTTCTCGCCGCCCTCGCCCTCTTGGATCGTGACCTTACTCCGGCGAACATCCCATTCGAAAGTCCAGCCAGTGCGCCGTGTCAGCGTCTTCTCGCCGAACGTGTTGCGCAGCCGCTCCACCAGCCGCGGCACCTCAACTCCCATGAGGGCGTTGTTGATGCTGTTACGTCCGAAGATGTTGGCAAACGACCCGGCAACCACGAGCGGGATGCCCTTGGCCAGAATCGCCGTGGCGGCTTGCTCGCGGGACGACCCGCTGCCGAAGTTGAAGCCCGACACGAGAATGTCCCCGGCCTTGGCCACCTGTGCAAACTCCTTGTCGTAGTTCTCCATGACCACCTCGGCCATCTTCTCGCGCGTGACGTCGTCCTGGTACGTGTACTTGCCGGGATAGATGCCGTCAGTGTTGATGTTGTCAGCGTCACAGAAGACGATCTCCCCCGACACCTTCTCGGGGAAGCCGGGCAGTATCTCCGTCAGCGACTCGTCGCCCACGGACTCCGATTCCGCGCTGCTGTCCTTGCCCGAAATGGCCTGCTCACCCGTCGCGACCATAGAATCAACCTGGCCGATAATGGACGCAAGAGCATCCTCGATGGTGTTTCCAATGAGATCGCCTTCGCCACGGATCACCCCCGTCACACCCTCGGGCTGCTCGTACCAGCCAGTGCCCGAAATCTTGCCTGCCAACGCACTGGCAGCAACGACCTCGGGGCTGGCGAGGTAGGCCTTGGCATCCGTCGAGCCCATGCGGCCCTTGAAGTTGCGGTTGCTGGCGCTGATACCAACTTCACCTGGCTCTAAGAGACCGGTGCCGAGGCCAATGCAAGGACCACATCCGCTGGGCAGAGGCTGCGCGCCAGCCTGGAGAAGAGCGTCCCAATCACCTGCTTCCCTTGCCGCGGCTTCCTCCAACGTCGACGCCGCGGCAATGTAGAAGTTGACGTGCTCGGGAATCTTGGGGATCTCGCCGTTGTTCTTGGCCGCAGCCTCCTTGAACACACGGGCGGCAGCAGCGATGTCAGAGCTTCGAGAGTTCGTGCAAGAGACGAGATATGCCCTGTTGACCTTGATGTCCTGAGCCTGTAGCTCGGCAAGAGGGGTGGCAACCTTGACCGAGTTGGGACCGGCGACGTAGGGGGAGAGGGTGGAGAGGTCAAGGTAAAGCTTCTTGGCGTAAGTGGCACCAGGGTCAGCAACAGGGGCGTTCTCGAAGAGCTCGTCAAGGCGCTCGTGATTGAAGCGCGAGATACGGTTGCTTTCGTACATGGACGCCTCAGTGGCCTTGAAGCGCAACCAGCCCTTGAGGGTACCATCCATAGGGAAGAGACCACTCAGAGCACCCCATTCAGTCGTCATATTTGCAATGGACAGACGGTCATCAATAGGCAGGCTGGCAAGGGTCTCAGGGGAGCCGGTGAACTCAATGGCGTGGTTGAGCACATCATCCTTGTTGAAAAGACCGCAGAGAGCAACAATGATGTCCTTGCCAGTGACACCCTTGGGAAGAAGGCCAGTGAAGGTAACCTTGGCGATGGGCGGAATCTGCCACCAGGTTTTGGTGGTAGCCCAGATGGAGGCAGCGTCAGTGCGCACGACAGGGGTTCCCAGGCAGCCGATGCCGCCGTACATGTTGGTGTGGCTGTCAGACGCCACGGCAAGAGTGCCGGGGAATGCGTAGCCTTCCTCAACCATGATCTGGTGTCCAATGCCCCTGCCAGCCGGGTAGAAGTCGACGCCATGCTTCTTTGCGAACTCCTCGATTTGCCTGTACTTCTTCAAGTTGGACTCGCTCTTGTTCTGGACGTCGTGATCGAGGGTCATGACGGTCTGACGGTTGTTGGCGATCTTGGAGCCACCAATGCCCATGAACTTCAAAGCGACAGGCCATGAGTTGTCGTGAGTCATGCAGTGGGCGGGCTGGATGGTGACATAGTCGCCAGACTTGACAAACTTGCCGTCAGGCAGACCGACAGCATACTTCTGTACGATCTTCTCCGTCAAGGTCTGCGGCACGCCCTGCGGCTTCTGGAGCGAGGAGAGGAGAGACGACGCATTGGTGTCCTCGAGCTGGGTGTGGAAAACATGCTCCTGCTGCTGGGGAGCAGAGGCGCTGCTGTATAACCGCGGGCGGTGGAACGACGGGGACGGGCGGATGACAGTGGCGGCACGCAGCGAAGGCGTCCGAACAGCCGGGAAGCCTGATCGGACCTTGGGACGAGTCAGCGACCGCAGCGGATCAATTCCGGGGTAGAGGGCATACGAAGCTTGCGCGGGCAGCCAGGCGGGCGGCTGAACGAACGGTGGAAGCCATGGTTGCTGCCGTGGACAGTCGGAGCACGCGTCGGCCGTTATCGCGCAACTTTTCTTGACGCGCGGGCCAGGGCTGTCGCTTCCCCGGATTTTCGCTTAGCAATCCGCGCTGCCTCACTGGCTCCAGCAATCCGTCCTCCGAAGCCGCTGCAGGCCATATTAAATAATCCGTAGCCGAAAAGCAGTACGAGCCAGCCAACAAGCAGTACCAGGGTAAGCCGCCGAGGATGCTTGCTCCAGTGTTTCCCGCTGCCCAGGATAGAGCTATGATAGGCCCCTGTGCTCTCCAGACATATCCTCTACAGTTGAATTACCTCATCGCCGACATCGGAAGGAGCTTTCGCAGCGTACTATTCCTATCACCGTGGGCAACGTCATTGTAAACACGAACAACAGAAGGATGTAACGGGATCGGCGTGTGAACGGCGTCACTCTATTGTGTACAATTCCCCGCTGTCTGTGTCGTCAAACAATGCAATGTCATCATCATACTCACTATATTAACTGATCTCGTGGAGCTCGGTCACCCACTACCAATGACACATGGGATTCTAAGAGCCATCTTAAGAGATTCCCAGAATATCATCAGAAAAATAAGCCTGACTGCACGACCGTATGTCTGTAACCACAACCTTCATCTCCAGGCTGGACGTCTTCACCACCACCATCAAGACGACCGCTGTGAGGCCGACAATCCAGATCGCCTCAACAGCCAGCTGCATCTCCGCACAGGTACCGTATCTGTGCCAATTCAAAGAAAATATTCGATGCAATTATAGCCGAATCGATTTCGATGGCTCTGCTTATGAAAAAACAAAATTGTTGATTTGCTCCTCATAACTGCCATCGCATCTACCAGACAGAAGCCTATTCAGACATCTCTTCGTTATAATTTACCTTTGCCCTACCCACCCTACCACTGCTCCGTGCGCCCCGCCTTGCACCTTTACCCGTCACAACAGCTTCCTCGTCGTCATCATCCAAGTCCGGCATATCTGCCGGCTCATCCTCCCCTTCAGATGTCGACGGCGTGGGCACACTTTCGACCGCCTTTGGCCCCTTCCCAGAAGCAGCCTTTTTCGGGGCCGCCTTCTTCGGGGCCGCCTTCTTCGGCGCAGCCTTCTTCTTCGAGGCACTTCCAGCGACTTCATCCTGCGCCTCCTCGCCGGCGGCGGCAGAAGCGGCGGCATCGGCAGTAGCAGCAGCTTTCTTCTTCGTCTTGGCCGGCGTCGCCTTCTCGCCGTCTTCTTTCTTCTTCACCACCCTCTTCACCGGCCGCAGCCACTCCTCCATACCTGGTGGCCAGTACACGCGACGATCCGGACCGCCCATGCCCAGTTCCTCCTCAGGAACGACGGGCGGCGGAGCCGCCTCTTCCAAGTCTTCGGCAGCCGCTTCAACGATATCATCGCCGTCAGCCGCCTTCTTAGTCTTCTTTTTGGGCGTAGCCTTCTTCTTCGCAGGCGGACGAGCGGGCTTGTTCTCGTCGCGGCGAACGTGCGGGATCACGTCGTTGAACGTGTCCCAGCCCGGCAGCTTGAAGTTGCGCATCAGCTCGAAGACGGCCTGCTCCTTGTCCTTGGCTTCAATCATGAGGTCCATGTCGTTCGCGCACGGCGGCAGCGTGAACGGGCGAGGGTTGTGTTTGCGACGTTGCGTCGGAGTGACGGCTGCTGGGGTAGGCTCAGAATAGTGCATTTTCTGCGTGATACCCTTGCGAGTCCACGTGGCCTTTATCTCGGGGTATAGATTGATGATGTCAAGAGTACCCTCGCGAGTCTTGTCGGCGTCAAAGAGTATGTTATGGTGGTGGAAGTCGAGGACCATGGGTATGTTAAGCTCTTGGCAGACTGGGAGCAAATCGTGGACGGTCCAGCTGACGTCGTCATTTTCAAGTACGAGGCGGTTCTTTATGGAAGGAGTAAGTCTGGCGTAGTTCTTACGGAATCGGTCGAGAGTTGCAGCCTTGTCGCCAAACGTGCCGCCCATGTGCAAAATCATGACCGCGTCACGGTCCTGTTGCGGAGGCAACTTGAGTAAGCTGAGCATCTCATCGTGGTACTCAAGGTCTCTGATCGCATTTTCAATCACTGACTGGCGGGGAGAACCGAGCTGGGTGAACTAAAGGCCGGTCAGATCGTCGGGACGGACGCCTTGGAGTATAGTGAATTACCTGTCCGGGATGCGTGGTGACCCTATGCCCGAGCTCTGCTACGACCTTTCCCGCCTCTGCAAGAGTCTCAGATGCGAAGGGGGCCAGCTTGTATCCATACTCTTCATGGCTGGCAAACGGAAACATCTCACTGCTCAACCGCATGAATTTGATCCCATACTTGTCGTTCCAGCGCACCATTTTGATGATATCGCGAGCATTGGCTAGTCCGAGGCTCTCTACAAAGTCCCGGCCGCGCTGAATGTCCGCTGGTTGGTCTTTGTCGGGCCTGTTTTTCGTAGCATGTTCAGGTTGACTAGGATCTTTCAGCGGATGTCGGTGGTCGAGTATGGAGGCGATACGACATGTCCTGGAGCTGAACACTGGAGGCGTGGCATTGCGGAGGTAGGTGTTCAAGCAGGCCTAGCACTCGGTTAGACTCTAATCTCACTGGCGACCCACCCCTCACTCACGTAACCTAAGCGACCTTTCCACGGTAGTGGAAGGTAGTCGCTGTGCACAGGCGGTGGCCTGGAGACAGCTTTTTTGATCTCTTCTTCATCTAGGAATTCTTCGTCTTCTGCTTCCTGATCAAACATCAGAGCTTCTTCGCCTACGTCTTCAGCTTTGGTTGTTTCTTTCTTTGGCGTCTCAACCGGCTCTTCTGTCGAGCCCACATCTTTGGCGTTTTTCTTTCCTCTTCCACGTTTTTTGGGTTCGGTCTTGTGGTCCAAAACATCGGACAAAGGCGAATCTGTCTCGGCTTGTTCCAACGACGGCGCAATCTTTCTGTCGACAGCATTGTCGGGCGACGCTCGCAAGGCGTTGGGACCATCAATGACTTCGTCGTTCACGTCAGGGTTGGTGCTGGCGTTTGTTGCATCCCGTGCTGAGGACCTTCGCCTAGGGCCTTTCGTGGGAGGCAAGGGAATTGGGGTTCTCTTCGGCGGAGGCGCCATGTCCTCTGAGGCTGGGACCGCAGCGGCTGGGCGGCTTCGTTTCGGCATTGTGGAAAGATATGCGGGTGGCGAGGGCGACAGGCGCAGACCACGAGAAACCAGGGAGCGGCAGGCGGATGAGCGCGAAACTACGGCAAAAGGTGGGAGTAGATATGGCATTCGAGGTGAGGTTGAGGAACGGAACGGGCGCAAGGTGGAATAAAGACAACAAGAGGCGTGCGAGGTGCAGCAGCGCAGCAGCCGCCGCAGGCGTCACAGCTGGGTCGCGCCAAGTCCATGATGGAAGGCTGCACGCTAGAGCTGAGAAGTGAGCGAGATGGTGCCTGAGTCTATGATGCGAACAGCGGGATCAGCGGCGGCGAAAGATCTCCCAGATCGATCCCCTCGCCAATCTTGGAATGACGTCAGCGCGTCGCGACGCGTCTTCGCTCCCACGCTACTTCGTGTCCCGTCTCCATCTACACCAGCAAAGCAGGTCCTTCGAAAGACAGCATCGTTTGATGCGACCTCCCAAACGCACGGCATGCAGTGCTCTGAGCATCTTAGAGCAGACACGCACCGAGGGCGGTTGCGGTCAAAAGTTCCACCTATAAGGCTAGTTTCAGGCAGTGCAACCTTATTGCTCAAGGCGCGTGGAGTTGAAGCAAACATCTGGATATATGTTATCAGTAAATTCGATGATGATGGTGGCGGCCGGTCGGATCCTTCAGTTCCTCGGGGTTGAACAGCTGTTGTCGCATTAATGAAGTCGACATAGTACGCGCACTGCAAGGTACGTGTCGAGCCAACATCTCTCGCCCTTCAGATACTCAAATGGCGTGTCGGGCGCCGTGTTTCCTCTCCCCAGTCGCTTTTATGTTTGTTGGCTCTCGATCCTGCTTCGCACCGGCCAACTGTGCTCCTCCTCGGCGGTACCGGCGGATGTGACCGATCTCGCTCGCCGGACTCGGTCAAGAGATACCAAGGAGCCCTTCTAGCTGCATGCTCGTGCTTTTCGGTGGCATAATAGTTTCCATCAGGCCTCCTTTCCACGACAACAAAGATGCGTCCAGACTGAGGAGGATGAGAGACCCAGTATTGTTCCGAAGCTTTGTTGCACGCCAAGTTGGACTGGGTCCGGTCTGCTCCGATGAGCGAGTTTTGCGGCTGTCGGTGAGTAGGAAGACTGTGGAAGGCTGTCTTGGCTTCCTGCGGCTGCACGGATCTCGCTCAGGGGCCGTGTGCGGTCCCTGAAGATGGCCGTATTGCGTGCTGCCGATTCTGCGACGAGGTGTGTTGACGCTCCACCGATAGTTCTCGACCACAGTGGCTGGCCGGCCCGACGGACATCGCCGCCGCTGGCCATGAAAGAAAAGTAAATGAGCTACTACTGTAGAGCACGTACAACCTCCGATTTTCTGACCGGTGATGGTGGGCCGAGCCAAGATACGCCTCTGCGGGCCTGCACGGCGTGGAACCACCTGTACAGATGAAGTGAGTCAAAATGGTGGCTCGACGGCGTGCTGGAGGCATGGCGTGACGAGTAGCAGAATGTCAGGCAAGTGCTGATGAATGTTGGGGCGTAGTCGCATCAAGGGGTGTCGCTACTGCAGAGGTGGGACGTGAAGAATCTTGACCTGAGGGGCCCTGGGTGGGTGGGTTTGACGAGACATGGTCTGACGCTGTGGCATGACGGGCTGAAGCTATCTGATGACTCGATCTTATCTTCCAGCTCAGACTTCTCATCACAGCCGTGTGCGACGGCTCTCCACCAAAGGGCTGTCAGGATCGACCGATATAGGGAAAGTTGTGATAGACAAGGGCCAATCACCAAGTGATGGGCAGGCTGATCTGGCGCTAATGCGCATCATCTTGTGTTGGCAAGGGTTGGGTCTGGCGCGCTCGAATCTCGGTCATGCGTCCCTCACGCCACACGAAGTCACTTCCAAACTTGGGAGCTCAGATTGAATGAGAAAGTGGAGTTCTATACATTTCGTGTAGAGCGAGTACACTCTAGTCCTAATCCAGCTCGTCAAACGCCGGAGTTATTATCGTAATGATGAGAAATCTAGCTAGTCTTTCCGGGTATCCAGCTTTTCCGGTTGCAATTGGCAAAAAAACGCCTGTGAACGCCAGAGATGCCGCTGTGTTTTGTGTCCATCTCTTACAGTCATGAATTTTCTTTACAAGTTTTCAGTCCTTCTCCTGTTCAGTTCACGAAGCCCATGTGGCCCCGCCTGGTCCAGGCCCAGCCCTCCTCTCGTCGCCTTCGCAGGCCTTCGAGCTCCCTCAGCTGCTCGTTCTCGTTGGCGAGCCTCTCGTGCTCGGCCTCGAGGTACTTGATGTACTCGACGGCGCCAGCGAGCACGGCAGCCTTGCTAGGCTTGGGGACGGCAGCACTGTAGCCGCCGTAGGAGTCGTCATCCTCCTCAGAGGTGGAGCAGGAGCGAGTACGGGGCTGAGGGAGGGTGCGGACGGCGCGGCGGAGGCGCTCGAGCTCATTGTTGAGACCCTCACGGTACTTCTTCTCGACCTGGTTGTGGGGCTGGCGGGTCTTGCTGATACGAGATGAGGCTGAAGGAGAAGTGGAGGAAGCGTCCATGTGCTTCTGGCCCTGGAGGCCGTGCGGGCGGTTCCGGAGCATGCGCTTGGAAGCAGGGGGGATGGTGTCCATGACGGGAGAGGAGGGCGCGGAGCGCTTGAGCGAGGATCGGCGCGGGGATGAGGCGGCTGTGGCGGTGCCGGAGGTGGTGTCCATTTCGTGGTGGGAGAAGGGAGATTCGGGGCCAGACAGAGACGGCGTGGGCGACACGGCCATGTCAAAGTTGAAGGCGTTGGGCTGGTACTGGCTTTCGCTGGAGTTCAGCGAGGGCTGGTCCTGGAACTGGAAGTCGTCCTGGATGGCGGGCAGAGTGGGAGGCGAGGCGAAGGGATTGGCGGCGAGATTGGTCTGCCACGGCTGGACTTGAGAGGACTGGTGCGGCTCTTTTGACAGCGGGCGGCGGGCGCTATCGCTGTAGTCTGGCGTGACCATGGTATGATTGCGGGCCAGCAGGGGTGGCGTGTTGACGGACGATGTGGACGACGGACCGCCTGGCAGTTCGACAGTGCTGGTGGGGTAGTCCAGGCAATCGGAGTTGATCCAGTCGTCGAAGCTGTAGCTGTTTCCAGCAGGTTGATCAAAGGATGCTGAGGCAATGGTCAGCCCTGTTGCTAGGCTAGTTCCGGCTGGCGGCGGTGCGCACTCAGAGACATGGCTTCCAGCCAATCACAGGTCATCCTCAGCAGAGGGCAGATAGGGGCGGTCGCAGGGGGCGGCGGTGGGTTGATGTGCGGTGATGTCGTGCGTTGTTCAGTGAGCGAGGCTCGGGTTGCAGTGCTGGCGGGGTGTGGTGATAAGATGAGGTCACGACAATGGCGCGTCTTGGTTGTTATTTATCCCGCCGAATACACAGGCGCTGGGCTGCGGGCGCGATGGAGGCCGCCGCGGCGAGCCAAGCCCACGCGCGCAGCGCAACGGGCTGGCGTGCTGATCAGGCCACTCTGCGCTGCGCGGAAGGAAGCGAAACGCAGCGCAGCCCTGCGGCCTTGGCCCACTACGGCCGCCCGGCGGACCGTTTTCTAGCGCGCACAAGTCAGCGCTGGCCGCTGGCATCAGCCGTGCCTCTCGCGATCGCCCGCCGCCCGCGCTCCCCGGCCAGCTGCGGCAGCCCGGCCAGGCGGCACCGCCCGCGACCGCCCTGCACGTGCTGGTGGTGTGAGAATTGTTCGATTCTCAAGCCAACCGCCACTCCACCCAGCGCCCTCATAATGCTCGCTCTGACACATCCAAGTCACGCCCGCCGCGCCCTCACTGCTCGCCCGGAACGGCAACATGGCACCATCGGCACCCCGAGCCTGCTGCGACGCTCGGCCTTTGTAGTTGCGTGCGTACGCCGTGCGCCGTCGTTGGGAGCGAGCGCGAGACCGGCTGCCTGCCTGTGGCCCTGTACTCGCGGCCCCGGTCGGCGCCCCCCAACACAGGCCCATCCCGTCTGCCGAGCGCGCCGACCTTCGGCACTCGCCCTTCGCAGTGTCACTGGCAGGCTGTGTCGCAGACTCGCAGCAGCGGCCTCGTATCCGCACCGCTCGCCGCCCACGAGTCGACAGGAGCCTTGCCCGCTCGAAGCGCCGTCTTGGGACGCCGTCTTGGGACGCCGTCTTGGGACGCCTGGGTGCGCCTGGGTGCGCCTGTCGCTGGCGGAAATCGTCTCCCAGTGCTACCCCAGATGGCTTCTCCGCAGCGACAGCGCCATGGCACTTCGGAAGCGGCACCGAGGGGTTTTTCCATATTGCTGCCACGCGGCGGCTTGCGGCAGCCCGTTACGCCGCCTGTCTCTGGTGCTTCAGCGGCTGCGGGAGTGCGGCTGGGAAGCGCCATGGCCGACGCCCTACCACTGTGTCCGCATGGCGAAGGCGAAGATGGCTGCTCTGCACCGACGCGCCTAGATGCGCATCACGGAAGATCGGCGTGCAGCACGGCGCGCATCGGGAAAAGCAAAAAAGGGGACGCGGAAGATCACTGCTCCTTTGCGATTGCGGCACAGGCAGGCTGGCCAGCGCACCCTTCCAGACCGAGGGTGGAGGCAGAGATTTTCTCTGCGATAGCTGCTGCGCCGCGATGCTTTCGGACCCTGCGTTGCTTGTTTGGCAGGCGCACAGTCCACGGCCCGGATAGTCGCCACCACCCCGGCCAGCGAGTCCACCAGCGAGTCCACCTGGAGTCCAGCGACTCCGGCTCTCCGTTCAGCAGACGCGACCTCGGCCCTCGAAGCCTACACTTGTCGGTGAAGCCTTCAAGCTTGCTCGATGCAACCCTCCAGTCAGGCCCGACGAGCGGCAATGCCAGCCCGGCCGAATGACGAACACTGCATCAAACATCCCCACCCAGCTCATCAACACGATTCATGCCCTTTTCGGTGAATTCCTACAGCTCCCACTTCTCCAGCACCGAGCCGCCAGCGCCAGCCGGCCGGAAACCAAGCAGAGGACAGGATCCAAGGAAGCTGTCGAGAGCATCGGTCGATCGGCTGCCCTCGAAAATCGAAATCCGCGCGCATTTTCATTTATCGGAGCGGCAAGCGGTGTCATCCAGCGGCGTGTGCCCGCTTGAAACGCCCCCGCAGCATCCTCGTTCTTCCAGCCTCCGCGCTTCGATCGCAGAGCAGGCCCAGGATGAAATTCACAACTTGCGCCAAATCGCTGGCGGCGTGCAGTCCCACCGTGACGTGGAGCATACCAAAGACAGACCAGCTCAACGCGCCTTTCCAACCTTGCAACTGCGTCATGATGCGGTACTGACATCAAGTTTCCCGCACGCACTGTCAAACACAGGCAGAAATGCCCCAAGGTAAAGATCAGGGCCGATTTCCCGTCCCCTTCTGAAGACGCGACACTGTCGAGCTTCCACACAAGAAGTACAAGGCCGCAAGCAAGCCATGAACAAGAGCCGAGCACGCGGCGACCCATCACGATCGAGATGTTTGATTGTTGGTCGCGATTGATGGAGTCCCTGGGATACCTAGAGCTATAGTCTGTTACAACCACAACCACCAACACGTACGACCATCGGTCGCGGAATAGGGCTTCCCGTCCGCTCTCTTGAAAATAATCAATAACCTGTTACTAGCGCGCCGGTTCCCTGCTCCAGCTCCTGCTCCAGCAACCCGGAATCACCCACACACCACTATCTTCCACCAGCCCACCGTTCAAAGTGATCCACCTTGGTGCTCACGTCAGCCATCACATAGCCAGCCTTTTATCATAGAACTAGCTACTTATCACAAAGAGCTTCTTGTCCTTAGCCAACATCATTTTTGACATTCCATGATTTTCATGGCTGATTGAGCCGTAACCAGGGCATGAGGTCTTCCATGTGTGCCCGTAGGCGACCCTCGATACAGTGAGATTACCGAACAAATCGGAACAATGTGCTCAAGAATTCGTAGATACACGCTACTGAAATGCCGGTTCTTTGCAGCCGTAGGCCTAGAAGATCCCGGACCAAGGAGCGAATCCAAAACCTGTGAAAGCCGTGGCGCTGTGTCCGTTGCTAGCAGCTCTCGGTTAACGGTGGCCTGAGTTCCAATTCCAATCCAACACTTCCGAGGCAGGCAACTGCAGAGCAGATTGATCAGCCTTTTGGGTGGGAGGATAAACCATCAATACCTGAGAAGATGCCACAAAGCACGTAAGGGATTAGGTATGTGCTCACAAATCCCATCGCGACGACCTGGTTCGCGCAAGTCAGGTGCGAGATGCTGAGGTACGACAGGGGTATCTTAGCAACCAAGCGTCTTCCATATTTCCGCATTAGGAACTCGTAGCACTTGTGGTAGTAATCCTCTGAGATTTTAATAATGCTTTTGCAGCAAGACGCGCCGGTCGGCCAGAGGGGTAAGCAAATATCAAAGTGCTAGAATGCTCTGTTCGGCGTTGGTGGGTGAAAAGAGCGACTGGAGGTGAAAATGATACAGACACGCGATAAAATCCTCACTCACCCAACTTGACACCCGGAGCCATACCTTTTCCCGCCTGCGCCGGCAAAATGAAACTCCGGCTCTGCCATTCTCTTCAGACAGCCGATTATAAAGGACCTCAAATTCTTTCGGCTTCGTCCACTCTAACCCTTATCATCTTCACCCCGACCTTCTTTTTGCTCTCGTTTCAATCGCTCCTTTGCACCATGAGGCTCTCGTTGCAGCTGTGCTTGCTGGCGCTCCTCGCTCTAGCCACCTGCATTCCGAACGGCTACCCTCTTAATGTTACGCTCACTTGGACTGGAAACACGGCCATGCAGATGGTCATCCAGAATGTCGGCGAATCCGATCTCACCCTCGTTACCGCCGGTAGCTTCTTCGACAACCGTCCGATTAAAAAAGTCACCATGTACTCCGGTAAAGGCACTGCTCTAGCCTTCCATGGCATGAAGGTGGACCCCAAGCCAATCACCGCCCTCGTTGCGGCCGACTTCACCGCCGTTCGCGCTGGACAGGCTTTGTCCGTCACCTTTGACGCTGCGACCATGTACGATCTCTCCTCAGCCGACACCTTCACTGCCGAGGCCGTTGGAGCCGTCTGGGACGCCCGTTCCGCCGACTTCATACCTTACAACAGCAACTCGGTCGAGATAACCGTCCACCAGCCCAAGGCCACCACTACCAAGATGGCAGTTTTCAATCGCGAAGCATCTCCGTCGCTGACCCCGTATCCTGCTAATGCCAACATGACGATGCCTGCCGCGATCCTGAACTCGCTTCCTTCCTCGTGGCCTCAAAACAAGATTCGGGACTGCGGAGACGATGAGCAACGAACGATCAGGAAGGCTCTGAGCGGGTGCAAGCTGTACGCAGATGCTGGAGCCAATAGAAGCTTTGACGAGATGCAACAATCAGGCCAATCGTAAGCAGGCGTACCGACCGAATCAAACCAACGACCATGCTGACGAGGGTTGCTGCATAGTTACGAGAAACTAAAGCTCTACTTCAACACGGAGATAGAGGCGGACGATGCAGCCGTCTTCAACCGCTTCTCCGCGATATCCAAGGAGTGTGCAGCGATTTTCCGCCCTGAGGTCTTCATCAGCTGCAGTGATTTGGACAACACTTGTCAGCAGCATAATGATACTTTGGCCTACCACATCACATCAAGCGACGACGAGCCGGTGATCTGCTTGTGTCCTCCCGCTTTCGATCTTGCAGTAGCCAGTGAGACATACAACGACATGGACTTTGCTGGCCTCCTCCTCTCCCAGCACACTTTCTTTGACCTTGCCAGGGCGCCTTGGCACGCCGAGGACGACGAGCAAGACGTCAGTAAAGCGGCCAGACTCTCCTCTTCTAAGGCATTGGCGAATTCTGGCAGCTACAGAATGTACGCGCAAAGTACGTCCTCAGCAAACCACCCCACATCATTTGAGATGCTAAAAGCAATGCAGGCTCATACTTGGACTATATGGCCAGTCTGGACAGCGGCAGCACCCACGGCAACCGCACCTACACCATGCTCACCCCGGCCGACTTGAACAGTTCGGACAATTGGAACGGTACGGACTGCGCGGATGCCTCGGAGGACGAGATGGACAACTGCTGGGACCCCCCGGATTCCTGGGACGACCCGGCGTGCAAACCCGCCGACCCGAACGACCCGGATAACCTGGACGACGACTGCTGGTACCCGAGCATGGACAGCAGCACGGTGGCCAACGCGGCCAGCACCACGATGAGCAGCACGGTCAGTGCCGACCCCAGCGGCATTACCATGAGCTTCTTTGGCCCGCCGTCCAACATCGGCAAATCCAGCGACTTTCCTCACACCACCGTCGACCCCCCGGCCACCACTACTGACAATTGGTATTGCTGGGGAGAGGATGATAACAAATGCCCGTCCGGTTAGCTTCGAAGCGTTAAGAAGCAGAAAGGTGGAGAGCACTGGCAATGGAACGGGATGCCAGACAGCGACCGCGTTTCGACCCGAGCTTCTTTTTCAGCTGTGCTAGACTAGATGATAATGATACGGTACTGGATCCTCTTCTTCATTTTCGCCACTTCCACTGCTGAGTGATCTGTGCTTGTATCCTCGTCGACTTCATTGCTGGATCGCTTCACCGTGTAGACGGCGCGCTAGGCAAAGGAGTGACGCTGGCGTCGAGGGCGTGACGCTGGGTGAAAGAGAAATGTTTAAAGCGCTCAGTCTGACATCGCCGAGACAGGAGACGGACACAAAAGCTGACTGGAGCAGTCGCATCGGTCCTGGTAGGGTGGTGCGCGGATGTTGCAGGTGGGGGTCGTTGGAGTTGGGGCTTGTGGAAGGGAAGGTAGGCCAGGTGGAGCAGGCGCGTGGGACTCAGGCATGCCAGGTCTTCCTCTTCACACCCGCTCACGCAGTGGCTCGTTCAGAACCGCCCGCGCTTTGATCCGGCAGGGCTGTCTCACCACCACGCGCGTCGAAAGCCGGCACCCTAGAGCTCGCCACGTCAATGTCTACGCTTGACCGCCAAAGGCATGCCGAGGACGAGTGGCGTAAGAATGCCGACAATCAAGTAAGCAGAAAATCCGAAAATCCGGAACCCATCCCGCTTACCAGATCCGACCCAACCTGAGAGACTTGGTAGATCGATCTTTGACGTCCGCCCCCATGATCATGGTGTCCTGCGTCGCAGCAGAGGCGGAAGGGGTCGGTCGAGCAGGACCCAAGACTTCCGCTTTTGAAGAGCCCTTGTTGCCGTTGTTGCCGGATTTGGCGGGTGCGACGAGCAGCCTCCTTGAATCAACTTTTGCGGAAGCCTTTCTATCCACCTTCCTTCGTCTCATCGTCCACAGAGTCAACCAAGAATCTTGTCTTCTTGATCATACTCTGCTGAAGCTTGGTATCTAAGGCCATGCAAGAAACGTCAAATCTGAGCGGCCTGGATTGTGAATACAAAAATTGCGAGACTTGCAGTAAACGGCAGCCATGCGAGACAGCGCACACCAAGAACGGCTACAAGCATGAAGGGTATCTCCAGTAGTGCTCGCGGAGTTAACGTCTAGCGCCGCGGGAACTAGTATGTACATACAATGAGGGGCTGCTTGGGGATATGCCATACTGGCCAAGATACTGCAAACTGCTTGTGCTAGACAAGACAAGAGATGGTGCCGAGAGGAGGACAATGCATACTGCCTGGATCGCGAGTGGGACGCAACGCTCGGGTGGCGTTGCGGGCCGGGGGTTCTGCGATGCCGCGCCAAGGAGGCTTTAGGCATCCCGGCGTCGGGTGCCGGCCAGGGGGATGACGTAACCGGCAGCGGCAACGACGCCCTCGGCCTCATCTTTCCAATCTTCATTCTCGGCAAGCCATTCTGTATTATGGCGTGCTCAGAGCAGTAGCCCGTGCTGGTGCGCCGTCTCTTATGGCGTAGGTCCGGCTTGCGGCCGACAAATCCGTTTCCCGACATGTGCCGCGGTAGAATGGCGTCGAATCAATGTGTATTATCAATCAGCCTCCGAGGCCGACGATTTCAAACCATTGGAAATGCCGTGTCATGGACTTACATATAAGCTTGTTCTGGCTGGCCTGAGCCAACTATTCGCTTCACGCTGCCCAGCAAACCACCACAACCTTCTCGAGCCAGGCTATCACTCCATAGACTTGTTTCACCATTTCTCGGCCAATCGTGTGCGCAAACACCCCCCGCCTTCGCCATGGCCGCCAACAGCAAGCTCTTTACGCCTTTCAAGGTTGGCTCGTCCCAACTCGAGCACCGCATCGCCATGGCTCCTCTTACTCGATTCCGTGCCGATGACAACTACGTCCCCTTGCCGCTGGTGCCCGATTACTACGCCCAGCGCGCCATCGTGCCCGGAACTCTCCTCATCACTGAGGCAACCATCATCTCGCCGCGCGCTGGCGGCTACCCCAACGTTCCTCACATTCACACCGAGGAGCAGGTGGCTGGCTGGAAGAAGGTCACCGAGGCGGTCCACGCCAAGGGCTCGAAGATCTGGCTTCAGCTTTGGGCGCTTGGCCGTGCAGCAAACCCCCAGGTTCTCGAGAAGGACGGCCTGAAGGACCAATTCGTCAGCGCTAGTGCAGTGCCCATGAGCGACAACTCGCCGACCCCGCGTGCGTTGACCGAGGCGGAGATCGAGTCGTACATTCAGGATTACGCCCAAGCCGCCAAGAACGCCGTGGAGAAGGCCGGGTTCGATGGCGTCGAGATCCACGGCGCAAACGGCTACCTGATCGACCAGTTCAACCAGGATAACTCGAACAAGAGAACGGACAAATGGGGAGGCAGTGTGGAGAACCGGGCTCGTTTCGCGCTGGAGGTTTCAAAGGCCGTTTCGCAAGCCATCGGGGCGGATAAGACCGGTATCAGGTTGAGCCCTTGGTCGACGTTTCAGGGCATGAAAATGGAGGATCCGGTCCCCCAGTTCACGCACATCATTAAGGGGCTGAAAGAGCTGGATCTCGCCTACGTCCACCTGGTCGAGTCCAGGGTCTCTGGCAACGCCGACATCGAGTCTTCAGACCGTCTTGATTTTGCGCTGGAAGCTTGGGGTAGGGAAAAGCCCGTGCTGATCGCTGGTGGGCTGAAGCCGGACTCTGCCAGGAAGCTGGTGGACGAGGATTACAAGGACTACAACGTCGGCGCCGTGTTTGGGCGCTACTTCATCTCGACGCCCGACATCGTGTACCGCATCAAGAAGGGCATCGAGCTGACGCCGTACGACCGGGACACCTTCTACAAGCCGAAGGCGGCCGAGGGCTACGTCGATTACCCGTTCTCCAAGGAGTTTGAGGCAGAGCGCCGCCAGCAGTAGAGCTGGGGATGCGCGCAGCAGGGATTTTAATGATACCCGGCAGGCTTGGGCCTAGAATAGAGTAGAGCAATTGAAGTCTCACGAATGAGCGCGGCCTCCTGACTCGAAATTGAAGAGTGATATAGCTAGTGGGCGCAGTGACACGGGAGGCGCGCACAAGCGAAATGGGCGGAATGAGGGCGACGCAGCGCCCTGGTTCGCGCCAGGCGGCTGCTGGGATGGCGCTGCAGCGCTGGCCGTGCAGCGCGGCGAAGATGCAAACGGCACCCTCGGAGGGGCAGCCGGTGCGCGCGGCCTGGGACCACTTGACTCAAGGAGGCGTCGTGAGCTGGCTCCAGAGCCCCCTGGCGCAGTGGGCTTGGCTCCGTCGCTCACTGTCGATCGCGAACAGGCGAGATTTCGCACACGTGGTGGGCGGTGGAGCGCGAGGACGCGTTTCAAGCTGGGGCGGACAGCACGTCGCCGGGCTGCGTGCGTGCCTCAGGGTCCCCCCCTCGCCGCGCCCAGGGAGGCGGCGCTGGCACGCGGGCACGCGGGCACGCGGGCAGCGAAGGGCAGGCTCGTGGGCGACGACGAGATTGTATGGTTAAATAATCTTAATTGGGGCCGGATCCGCTGTCGCAACGTGCTGGGGCGAGGAGCAGACCGGCGCGTTCAGCTGGGCCTCTTGGCGCCTGAGGGCGCAGAGCCGTTGGAGGGCCCTGGGAGCGAGAGGTGCGCGCGCACCCCAGCTGCACGTCCGTGGCGCTGCGCATCCCAGGACGCTCCTCACGCTCCTGAACCAACCACGTCGCGCTCCACCTGAGCTTCTGTCGCTCCCGACCTCCAATTCTTCCGCCGCACGCCAGACCTCCTCACGCCTGCAAGGCCAGCCGTTCCCTCGAGCCCCGTCGCGTCTCCGCTCTCTCCGCCGCGCCTCCGCACTCACGCTCGCCCTCCTCCGCCGGCTGCGATCCTGCCCGGCCTCCAACGCACGCGCGCGACCCCGTACCACCTCCTCCCGGACCGCCCGCCTTCCCTAGACCGCTCGTATCGCGCGTTATGCAATTCTTCTCTCGCTATCCCATATAGCGCCGCACAACTGCGCCATGCCCTGGCGGCCACTCCCGCGGATTGCCTTCGCAATCTGCACATTTCCCTTTCAACCCTCGTCCCCCGCCGACCTGCCTCTCGAGATCGGCGACGAGCTGTACATCATAGAGCAAGGCGGCAAAGATGGCTCCTGGTACCGCGGATATCTCGTCGCTCCGCCCTCGCTGCTCGCCGGCCTCACCTCGTCCAAGGGCCAGACCCTCGAAGCCCGCGTCTTCTCTGGAATCTTCCCGCGATGCTGCGTCGAGGTCCGCGAGGTTCTGGGAGAGGGCAAGCCGAGCGCCGAAGCCGACGACCGTCCCAAAGACTACTTCCAGGGACTGCTCAACGCCGAGGGTCAGGGGAGCGACTCCGAGCAGCTCGCGAACGGCGTCATTACGCCCGACGAGAGCACGTCGACAAGCCCTGCGACGGGCAGAAACCAGCCTACTGTTACCAACAACCTCGGCCTGGCCCTGACACCATCGGACAAGAAGCGCGAGAGTGTTCTGCTGCGCCACAATTCGTCCAAAGCAAACGGAGAATACTCGCCCGGCTTCTTCCTTCCCCTCTCGCCTGTCTCGGTGACGTCGAGAGATCCTAACGCGCCCCGACCACCAGCCCCTGTGCCGATGCTCAAGATAGGAGACGAGACGCCGACATCGCTGTCAGAGCCGCTGGTCGACGAAATCGCATCATGCCTGCGCGAATGGCATTCGACAAAGCTCCACGAGCTTTTGTTGGCGAGACGTTATGGAACGCTGGACAAAATGACGACCTTGGTCCAGAAACTAGACTCGTCACGGAGGCAACTTTTGCACAAGGTTCTGACGAAAAAGGAGCTGGAAGCGGTGCGAGAAGCAACTGTCTGGGATCTTGTCAGTGGCAACAAGACGCTGTCGGGGGAGGTCATCGTACGGAGCCCATCACAAAAGGGCCGGATACTCACATCGGAGGACTCGGCAATCGAGGTTACCCGCCTGCAGTCCATGATGAGCTTGCTGGACGAACGGCCAGTGCAGGCCATGGATGAACACGTTCTGCACCACCTTGCAGTGACGCTACGTCACTTCTCCGGCGACATCAAGCATCCAACGACGCTCTGCATGTCGCTCTGCGCCAAACTTCCTGGTGCAGCTGTATTCCCCTTGTCTGAGGTGTTTTCGGTCGACTTGAACAGCCCCGAGGCTGTTGTCGCAGCTGTTGCTGAGGAAAAGATCAAATCTTTGTTCGTCGATCTGAGCTCCCATGATCTCGGAGAGGGCGCAGGGGCCGGTACAAGCCTATACCTGGTCATCAAGATCCTCACGAACGAAGCCGTTCGAACATCCACCCCTACCCAGAGCGCTGCTACTATCTCCCGCGAGACCACACAGAGCCCGGCGTCAGGCGGGCTTCAGCACTCTGCTAGTGTCAAAGGCGGTAGGCGCAGTTTGATGTGGGGAACTAAGAGAAAGGAGTCCGACCCCGGCGAGAAACCTCCTGGATTGAAAGCGGCAACCACCAGTGTATCTAGGCCATCTAGCGAAGGCCAAGGATCAAACAGTCGCGCGACAACACCAAAGGATGGGAAAACTGTGAAGAGAGCTATCGCCATTGGCGTATTACACCTGGAAAACCTCGCAAAAGATCCCCAAGAAATTGAACAGGAAGTCACCATGTGGACACCAAGCCAACCTTTGGATGAGATCGCGGAAGAGTATGATGCCTGGCCTGAAATCATCCCGGAGCTCAACCCGAGCGTGACTGGCCGGTACAAGCAATATCCCTTCATGAACCGGTTGCAGATCCACGTGAAGAGCTTTGCGCATGCAGATGCGGAGACTTTGATCCAGAAAACACCGACGTTGCTCCACAATGTCAACCAGAGCAAGAAGATCGGATTTTCTGGTGCGCCAACCAAGCCACGAAGCGATATCTACCTCACGTTGAGCGAACCATTCCTACCCCGCAATTGCTTCCTCTCACACCCGAGGAACGGATCGGTCACGATGAGCACGACGAGCAACATGGCAAATCTGCAGCTTACTCTTGAAGTTAGGAAGTCGACGGGCGAGAGGATTGAGAATTGCATTTACCCATCAGGCAATGGTGCAGGACACACGGCCTGGAGGACTACTGCAGTCGAAAGGGGAGAGGCTTGGAACACCACGATCCGTTTCGCAATCGCCCCCGAAGATGTCCCCGGATCCCATGTCGTAATGAGCGTGGCAGATGCACCAGGTTTTCCGTTCGCACTCTGCTGGATGCCGTTATGGATGGATGACGCTTTCGTGCGCGATGGCGACCATTCTTTGGCGCTGTACAAATACGACGAGTATACGTCCAGCATGATCTCTGGGCGTGGAGCTTACTTGGCTCTTCCGTGGAACGCTCAAAAGAAGGATGAAGCCGGATCTGCCATAATGGCTACCCTGAAAGTCAAGACTTACCTGTGTAGCACCAAGTATTCCCAAGATCCGTATCTTCTCGAGCTCCTTAAGTGGAGAGAGCAGGACGACGCGGACGGCATCACTGATCTACTAAGGAGGTTCATGTTCGTTCCGGAGATCGAAATCGTCAAGCTCCTGCCCGAGGTGCTGGACGCCCTCTTTGAAGTCCTTGTAGAATATGCCGGGACGGACGAGGTTGAGGATCTTGTCTTCAACACCTTAGTCATGGTTTTAGGCATCGTCTACGACCGCCGATTTAATCTCGCCCCTCTCGTCGACCAGTACGCTCAAAACCGCTTCAACTATCCCTTCGCTACCGCGTCTCTGATCAGAAGCTTCAACCGTCTACTATCGAAACCCACCAATCCGGACAGCTCTCGAAAGCTTCGTGCCACATTCAAGGTTGGAGCACACATCTTCAAGTTCATCATGAAGGCTCGGCAACAACAGCAAGAGAAAGAGGCTGGTGGTGGCCTGAGCAACCGCCAGGAGAACTTCGTCAATGATATGCAGAAGATTTTCAAGTCATTGGAAGATCTAATGTCCAATTCAGCCGCAGCTCTTGTGGGCACCAAGACGCTTCTCGTACAACACATCCATCAGTGGCTTCCGGAGCTGACTCTATGCCTTGAGCCAAAAGAAGTCCTTGAGCTTGCGAGCAGCTTTATCGACTCCTGCTTCGAAGCCTCGGGCAAGCTCATTCTCTACAAGCTGATCCTCATTCTCCAATTCTCTAGGATCGGGGCCTTCAAGGATCCGGAGACTCGGCCGACCCTCCTTCAGAACACAGTCCGTTGGTTGGCGCCACACTGGGGAAAGACGGTGGCTGTCACTCCTCAGTGGAAGGACCAGGTACGGCTGTGCTGCTCAGTGGTGGCTTCGCAAATCAATGAGTTGGGTGCCGAAGCTGCAGAGTACATACCCAAGCTCGTGGACTCGTACATGGCGATTTCATCAACCCCGAGATCCCAGAAGAACACTTTGTCGCTCCTTTTCCCGTCGACTTATCCCTTCCCATCCAAGCCCACGACGACCGAAGCCGAGTTTGATGAGGCGTTGGTTGAAATACTTGGAGTTCTCGCGGCTATTACGAATCTTCCCATCAACATCACCCCTGATCTACCGAAGCCGGAGCTTGCCACATTTTTGTTTGATACTTTGCAGGTTTATCTCTCGTTTTTGGATGGCGAAGCGTTTCCAAGTTCTTGGCTAAGTGTGAACATCTATCATCATCGAGCCACGATGAAAGCATTGGAAAAGCTGTGCAGTATCTTAGTCGACTCGTTCCTTCCCGATCCCGACGAGGCGGATGATTTCAATACCGACCTGTGGCGGTCGTTCTTCGATGCACTGCTAAAGCTTGTGGGCAGCGACGCTCTCGCTCTAGAGACCTTCCCCGAGCAAAAGCGCCGCGCCGTCTGGAAGATCGCTGGAGATGTCCGTGAGTTAGGCGCGGAGCTTCTGCGAAGGAGTTGGGAGACCATTGGCTGGGAGACAGCACCCGAGGAGCGTAAAGCTTATGGCCTCGAGAAGATGGGGGGTTATCAGGTGCAATACGTCCCTGGATTGGTTGCGCCCATTGTTGAGCTCTGTCTGAGCGTCCATCAAGGCCTGCGCAGCGTTGCAATCCAGGTCTTGCAGACTATGATCATCAGCGAATGGACCCTTTCCTCCGACCTGGCCCTGATACAGGCAGAGATGATTGATTGCCTCGACCATCTCTTCAAGTCCAAGGAAACCACCGAAAGCATCCTCCAGAAGCTGTTCATCAGCGAGCTCATCGACCTCTTCGAGCCTCTTGCCGAGGATCCGGACGACCCCCTCTTCAACGCTGTCAAGGACCTGATTGGCACTATCGATGAACTTTTGGACCTTTTGGTTGCTGTTCATGGCAGGGAAAACTCCGGCGAAATCTTCCATATCATGGATACGCTTCATCTCATGGAGTTCCTCAAAGACATGCAGAAGGAGGACATCTACATCAGATATGTGCACCAGCTCGCTGAAATTCAAGCCGATGCGGGTAACCACACAGAAGCTGGTCTCGCGCTTCGTCTCCACGCTGAACTCTACGAGTGGGATGCGAACATGACAGTCCCTGCTCTGGAACACCCGACATTCTTCTCGCAATCAGCATTCGAGAGGAAGGAGCAACTGTACTTCGAGATGATCAAGCATTACGAAGAGGGCATGTCGTGGAACAACGCCCTCCAAGCTTACCAAGAACTTGCCACTCAGTACGAAAACAACGTGTTCGACTTCTCGAAGCTTGCACGGACGCAACGTGCTATGGCCACTGTCTATGAGAGCATCAATAAGGGCGAGCGCCAGATCCCACGCTACTTCCGAGTCGTCTATAAGGGCATGGGTTTCCCTGTCTCTTTGAGGGACAAGCAGTTCATATTCGAGGGCTCACCAACGGACAGCCGTGCCACTTTCACTGATCGCTTGCAGCAGCAGCATCCCTCTGCACAGGTTTCAACGGGCTCAAACGAGGAGGATGTCGAAGGTCAATATCTGCAGATCTATTCTGTCAGCGCGCAGAAAGATTTGACGCATCCGATTTACCAGCGCCCGAAGGTTGGCCAAGCGATCCGCGAGCATTACGTTCTCTCGCGGCCAAGCAGGTTCTCTACAACCTCCAGACGCCACGTGAGCGATACGAGCCTCAAAGAGCAGACGATTCGCAAGACGATCTACACAACTGCCGAGCCGTTCCCCACTATTCTCCGGAGGAGTGAGATCATCTCCGTCGAGCAACTCGACCTCAGCCCCGTCCAGAGTGCTCTTGAGCGGACGCTCAGGAAGACGGCCGAACTGGCTTCGCTAGAGAGACGAGTCACTGGTGGAGAAGACTCTGCTCTGCAGCAACTCACCGAGGCTCTGATGCTCTCGGTAGATTCGAACTCTCCGGCAACAGTGGCAAGGTATCGCGAGCTCCTCCCTCAACAGCCAGAGCAGGCTGAGTCTGTCATCGATGAGGAGGAAGAGCCCGAGCCAGTTCAACTGAGCCAAATGGAGAACGCTCTCAAGGTTGCTCTCATGGACCATGCTTTGACGGTGAAGCGCTGCTTGGCAGCATACACGAGGCCTGCCCAGCAAGCCACAGCGGCTGACCTTTCATCACGTAAGTTGACCGTCTTTCCCCGCAACTCGTTAATTGATTTCGATCTGACTTCGGCAACAGGCTTCGAGACAACCTATGGCTACGAACTGGAGGCATTGTTCGCCAGTGGCCATTCGCCATTCGCGAACTCGCAGACGTCGTCTTGGATCAACTCGCAATCGCGCGCTGCATCGACAACTCCCACGCCTCAACAGCCACAACTCCTGAAGCAGAGCACAGCGATGCCTTCCTCTGATTCCCGTGCCACACGCCAAGAGAAGAATCGTCTCAGCCTCACTTTCCTCAAACGCAGCTCGACGTCGCAGCCTTTCATGGAGGGCAGGAAGTTGTATGTGGTGAACGGCGATGATGCGGACGATGACGAGGACAGAGCGCCGTCGCGCAGCCGAAGCAAGGACTATGGCCAAGGTGGGCTCAGCCATCGATTGAGTTTTCTCCATGGAACCACGACCAATGACTCGAGCGCGGGAGCCAGCCAGCGGAGCATGAGCATCGAGAGGCCAAAGACCAGCCGCAGCGAGTCGTCCCAAAGCCAGAGCATCAGCGATCGCATGACGGGCAACGTCAAGAAGAGATTCTCGATGCTGAACATCGGCAAGAAAGCAAGCAAGAACTTCAAGCTTGGCGAGAGTGTGGCTGAGGAGTGAACGAGATGATGGGGTTGGGAGATGGAGACGCACTTTTCCAGCACTGGATTTCCTTCTGATTTGTTTACGACTTGCCTAATCACTTTGCTGTTTCGTTTCACGCGCCCGAGGCGGCGAATTTCTTATACCAGGTAGGGAGGGATGGGACGATGGCGGTAAGGACATGCTGGGTGGCCGGGGACATAAGCGGACGAGAAAATACCCAGCATATGGGATGGTCGGGGGGTGTCATATTCTGTTTTTGTTTCTTTCTCTCCTTTGGTGCGAGCCGCACTCATCTTCAACGGTTTCCTTGGCCGCCTTTGTCTGGATTTCGCTCTATACTCTGGAGGGTTTGCCGAGAGTTGCTCCTTTTTTCTAATTCCGTCGGAGCTTCAGCTTTTCTTTTGTCCAAAATGCGCGTCACATTGGCTTGCGTTAGAGTCGAGATGTCGGAGAGGCTTGCGACGCTTGGAACTTGTAGTTATACCCATGTCTTTTTCTGGTCAAAAAGTCGCTTTTATCTGCAAGCTGGATTCATGCACATTGCTAGACACTGGTTCTTCGCCTTTCTTGCATACTTGGCGGTCAAAGCATGCTCCAGCGATTCCGGAACCCACCCATCGTCGTGGTTCCTTTTTTCTTCTTCGTTTCCCCTTTCGGTTTGTGCTGGTTTCGAAGGATGGCTTGGCGAAAGCGTCGGCAGCTGTAGGGCGGCGGGTACCCGCCATGCCGCGCGTTGTTTCGGGGCCCAGTAAGGGCGAAACATCACAGTCTTTTCTGGATTTGGATCCGCAGGGCTCCGCAGGTGACGTGCCTTCTGTCCAGCCACGAACAAGCCATGAGAGCCAACGCCTTATGCGGGATAAGCTTTCAGCTAGGGCGCGGGAATGGGCAGTGCTAAACTTGGCTTCCGGCAGGCCCCACAGCAGCCGGCGGTGGGATTGGTGGGGCGCGCAATAAGCACAGGATAAAGGCAGGAGTGCGGAGGCTGACACGGCAGGAATAAGCTGAGCGCGCGCTAAGCTTTTCTGGGCGTCCTGTGCGATCGTCTGGCCCCCAACCCTGGGGCTGAGCCTGCCACTGAACAACACCCTGCTCCATATATAGCTCCGCCGCTCTGCTGTTGACCACCGCTCCCCATCAACTCTGCATTCCCCCCACCCGCCTGAATCGAGGCTTCAATTGCACACTGTTCCCACACCACCATGCCCGTCCTCGTGAAGCTCATCAGCCAAGGCGTCGGCCTGGCCACCGAAGCCTACGCATCCAGCAAGAAGTCCAAGGCCGCAAAGGCATCTTCGTCCGCCTCTTCTCCCGCGCCCGAATCCTCATCCTCATCGCGCCGCCCCGGCCACGAGCCTCCGCAATATGCAGAGCTGTCCGACGACCAAGCCAATGACCTCAGCGCCAGCGGCAGAGCCCTTCCAATCGACGAAGCCGGTAGTGCACACAAGCAAGAGCAAGAGCCCGTAGCAGCACCCGCCATCCTCGAAGATGACGACGTCTGGGCCCTGGACGAAGCCTCGGAGGAGCTGCGACATCAACACCACCACCACCACCACCACCACCAACCCTCCTCCTCCGTCCGCTCCGACTCGTCCTCCTCCCCCTCGCCTCCCGGCACCCCCGTAGGCAGCGAAAAGCCCGACATCAGCAACAACGTCCTCATCCGCGACCTGCTCACCCGCCTCCCGCCCCCACTCCCCCCCAGCGGCGCGCCGCGCCTGCCCTGCCCCGTCATCCTGCCGCAGCGGCGCCCCCGCGAGAAGACGCGCGGCTTCGTGCGGGCGTACGCGCCGGTGCTGCACGAGGCGGCGGGCATCGACCAGGCGACGTTCCTGCAGTTCCTGAAGTCCTTCCACCGCGCGTCGCAGGCGAGCCCCGTCTTCAACGTCATCCTGCTCGCGAACGCGGCCGTGGGCTTCGTGCCGAGCGTCGCCGTCATGGCGACGACGGCGGCGGTCAACGCGGTGGTGATTCCCGCGCAGATCGCGCAGCAGCGGTACCGCGCCAACACGTTCCTGGACGAGGCGAACGAGCGCGTGTTCAAGCCGAGGGGATTGTTCGCCATGATCGTGGCGTTCAAGGGGGACGATCGGGGCAAGGCCGTCGAGGCGAAGCAGTTGGATATCAATGCCGTGTTTGCCAAGTATGGGGGGGCCTCGGGCGAGTCGTCGGGGAGCAAGTGGAAGGACGGCGCGAAGAAGATGAGGTTGAGCAGCGGGAAGACGTATGGCGAGGAAGGCCTGCCGGTGGCGGCCGATCTGGTTTTCCCCGGACTCGAAGAGGAGGATGGAGAGGGAGGAGAGCAGGCAGAGGGAACGAAGGGGAAGAAGAAGTGGTTGGCGGATTACTACGACAGGAGGGCACAGGCGAGCTTTGTGAGTCACTTCTCGTTCCCTTTCTCTTACTTTTTTGTTTGTGCGCTAACGCGGGATTCACAGTTGGCGGAGAATCCCGACTCCTCGCTCATCAAGCAGAAGCCTGAGTTCGCTTCCAGCTGGGCTGATCCAAGCCACCCGGCATACCAGGGCACGCTGGTCACGCTGGTCAGCGGTGGAAAGATCGCACCGAGACAACGTGGCGTCCTTGGGCTTGCAGGAGTCGTCAGAGGCGGTCGAGCTGGTGCTGCCGGAAGGGGCAGAGAAGGCCTTCTTGGTGGTCGCGGACTGCTTGGCAGAGGGGGCTCTTCAGGCGATCAAGACTACTACGACAGACGTAGCACCCCATCCGGTTACGGCTCCAACAATGCGTACGCTGGAGAGCAAGGCTCCTACGAGGACGATTCGCGTCGACGCGAGACGGACTCGATTCGCAGCCGACAACAAGGTTCGCGTGGCGGTTCGAGTGCTGCTACTCGGGGAGGCCGTACCACCATCATCGGGACGGTGAAAAAGGCTTTGCGACAGGTGAGTTGAGTCTACTCCGAGACAAGCAGGCGCAAGATTGCTTGTGCATGACGCACCAAGTTCGGGGCGTTCACCTCTGGCTGCATGAGCCGAATATGTCTGGTATTCTTTTGGGCCGCGACTGAGCTAACTTGGGAAATGCAGGACGTCTTGTATCTCATGATCGTAAACATGCCCACCGACGAGGAGATGGCGCAGGCCAAGGCGCAGCTCGAGGAGCTTCAAGGCAGCGGTTGAAGCAGAGACCTAGACGTAGATGCGGGGGTTGAGATTGCAAATACATTCAGACATTAGACACTACTACCCGTGTTACTAGGACGAATCATCCTCGCTTGCAACCCACCGTGCCGCTGGCGACAATCGATCATGGCCCAGACTTGGTCCGGTTCAAGTGAGCTTCCACTCTGATGGCAAAAAGGAAGAAGTACGGACACGGCCGACGCTAGCCGGGCTCGGTTTTCGAATAAGCATATCTCGAGCGTGCAGCTGCTGGATTTGGAGGTGGGACGCAGAGATGGCGTGCGGTATAAATACGGGCTCCGAATACTAACACCACTTACGGAGAATAAGAGTCGACATGAATTACTCGCGGCTTGGAGCCAAGAGACTCGGCGAAACACGGGCTAAGTCGGTCTGGGGAGGTCGAGGGTTGCGAGACAGCTTGGCAGAACGCTTGGGAGCCCCTCACCTGCCTACTCTGTTCAAGGGCCACAACTGGGCCCAATATCATCTGCCCGCGCGGGGTTTCTCCAGAAGTATGCTTTCGACCTCTCAGAGGGCCGCAACGTCAAGCCCCCGGTGCTATCTCACGTCATTCCGAGGCCACGGCGTTGCACGGCTCTGTTTGCTTCCCGGCCCATCGCCTGAGCAGGGGCTGCTTGGACCAAGATCTGCGAGCCTGACCTACCCTTGCCTATCTCTTGTTCCTGAATGCTGTGGCTGGGCCTCCATTGCATGCACCTGCCCTTTTTTCTCCCCCACCGCTGGTCAAGATGGCTCCCTCTTGGCATTCTTCGCACACGAGCCGGGCGTGGAAAAAAGCGTATATAAATCCACCGCCCTTCTCCCTTCGTACTCTCCCCTCTCGCTCAGGCAGCTGTCTTCTCGATATCGCCAACGATGAAGTACCTTCTGTCCATACTTTTGCTCGGCGGCCAGCTGGCCACGGCCGGCCCCATCTCCACCACGGCGTCCACCGCTGCCGTGGAGGAGGAGGTTGGCGAGAAGGTCAACTACGACGGCTACAGGGTCCTCCGCGTGGCGTACAGCGAGTACCAGAAGAACCCGGAGGCCGTGGCTGCCCTCGGCCAGCAGCTGAGCGACGAGCCCGCCCAGTTCGGCCAGGTCGACTTGCTCGTCGCGCCGGAAAAGAGCGCCGACGTCGATAACCTGGGCATCGAGTTCCAGGTCATCCAGGACGACCTCGGCGCTGCCATCAAGCAGGAGGAGGCGGAGACGGTCGAGTATCTCGGTGAGTTTTACTCCCGGCTATCCGTTTCATCGAGTCTAATCACTGTATTGGATGCACACAGCGAGCGCCGCGGCCGTTCCGTCCGACAGCTGGTTCGACGCGTACCACTCGTACGCCGACCATCTTGCCTTCCTGAACGACCTCGTCTCCGTACGGCCCAGCAACGCCGAGATCGTGACCGCCGGCACTTCTTCCCAGGGCCGCAACATCACCGGCATTCATTTCTGGGGCAGCGGCGGCAAGAACACGAAGCCGGCCATCATCATGCACTCTACCGTCCACGCGCGCGAGTGGATTACGACCATGGTGAGCTCCTCTTTGTCGAAAAGATGCTGGGAATGTCGTTAATCATCGTGCTTCAAAACAACAGACCAACGAATATATCGCCTACCAGCTCCTCACCCAGTACTCCTCCGACACCACCGTCAAGTCATTCGTCGACAAGTACGACTTCTACGTCTTCCCGGTGGTCAACCCGGACGGTACGCCCCTTCCCTCCCCGGTGGAAAGCTTGGTAGACGGGCGGTCGTTGGTTGCTAATGATCCTTCACAGGTTTCGTCTACACGCAGACGAACACGCGTCTCTGGCGTAAGAACAGGCAGTCCGTTTCCGGCAGCACCTGCGTCGGCACGGACATCAACCGCAACTGGGCCGTCGGCTGGAGCGTGGCCGGCGGCTCGTCGACCGACCCTTGCGACGAGACTTTCAGAGGTAAGAGCAAATCCCATTCGACAATTCCACAAAGAGGAGAAGAAAGGCGTTCGAAGAGAAAAATGCTCCCCATCCGGCATCCCGACAGTCGCTGATTTCCACCAACAACAACAACAGGCACCGCCGCCCTCAGCTCCCCCGAGGCGACCGGGCTCGCGGCCCAGATGCAGGCCGTCCGCGACCGCCAGGGCGTCAAGATGTACATGGACTGGCACTCGTACTCGCAGCTCTGGATGACGCCGTACGGCTACACGTGCAGCTCGCTGCCCTCCACCAACGCCGAGCTGCAGTCCATCTCGGGCGGCGCCGTCGCCGCCATCGCCGCCGTTCACGGCACGCAATTGTACGTTGGAGATGCAATCCAATCCTTTCTGACCTTTTATTTTGGTGGAAGCTGACTTTTGCTGCGACAGCGAATACGGACCGATCTGCCAGACAATCTACCAGGCGTCGGGCAGCAGCGTCGACTACGCCAACGACGTGGTCAAGTCGACGTACACCTTCACGGCGGAGCTGCGCGACACGGGCCGCTACGGCTTCGTGCTGCCCGCCAACCAGATCAGGCCGACGAGCGAGGAGATGTGGGCGGGCTTGAAGTACGTCTTTGCCAACATGAAGTAAATTCAGTTTTCTTCTCCTTCTTCTTCGCCCCCCTTCGAAGGTGTGCCGAAAAGGATCTGGGACTGAGTATTGTCCCTTTTCTTTTTTTTTGGGGGGGGGGGGGGGGGGGGGGG